GCGCCGTCCGCTTTGGCCGCCCACGCCCGACAAATCCTGCGGCATTTGTCGTCCGCGCGTTCCATCTCCGCCATGCATTCCAGGCGAAGCGCCAGCCTCTCCTTCTTCTGGAAGTCGCACTTCGTGAAGGCCTCCACTACTAACCTCCGCCGGCACTGTTCGCACTGGTCTCGCAGCATCAGTTCCGCTTCCCACGTCGCCCAATCCTGGCCCTCCCCGTGGAGCACTTGCAACAACGTTCGCGCGCCTCCCATCCCCCTTCGTTACGCGGCTGCCAATCAGCCGGCCGGAATATCAATGGGCCTCTGCGTCTGCGCACCCGCGCGATAGCAGCGTAACTGGATATCCAACGGACGCCGCGCCTACTGTCCAGGTCCGCAATCACTGCCCCCCTGGCGCGCCCCTGCGCGGCGCGCGCCAACGCTGCCAACGATGGCGCGATCATGAACTGCGCGCTTCACGCCCGAAACTGGATGCACCCAGTGCCCGCCCAAGAGCCACGGGCGCCCTTTCGATGGGAAGATGGGATGCAGCCCCGGCCCCCAGCATGGCAAATGCCTAACCTTCGCGCGAACACAATGACCCGCGGGAGACGCAAGGGGACCGCGTCGCCCGCATCTCCCACAACCCCGTCCTCGCGCAAGACCTCTGCATAAATCGTCGCCGCGCGCCCCCGCAGAATATGCTTCTTCGACCGGCCCAAATGATCTCCCAATGATGGGCATACCCTTCGCCAGCGAGAGCCACTCTGGCAAGCTCGCGCACTCCTGGAAGCGGTGCCCCAACCACCGCGCGTCGCCCTCCACCGTGCACGGCCGCCTCTGCCCCCCCCGTGGCAGGGGCGGTCTCTGGGCGCGACCCAGAAGAGCTGCTCTCCAATTTCCTGGGCTCACCGCGCGGCCCCCTGCTTCCCCGCGCGGCACCGAATGTCCTGATTTGGCGACGGCTCCCACGCATCGCCCTTCCCGAAATCGCGCATCTCCGGGCGACGTTGCAACGGGATTCTTCTGCGCTCGCTCGCCTGCGCAAACCCCGCACCCCAGCCCGCCATCGCTCGCAATTGCCTCTGCTTCCTCTCGGCAGCGAACGTCGCCGCACTGCGCCGCGCCGTTTGCCCAGACCTCGGCACGTCTGTCGGCCCCCCCGCGCGTCGCATTGCGCGCGCGTTCAGTCGACGCCCCGCGCCGACATTCATCTTGCACTCCGAGGAGTCAACCGCATGGGGCCCCCCACGTGCTTGCACCCCGTCAGCTCCGCCATGCCCTGCGCTGCCCCTTTGCCCCCGACCCCCCCAAAAGAAATGCCGCCCGCATCGCTCCGCGGCAGCCCGGGCGCACTTCCTTGCCCTCTATAAGTGCGACGCGGGCGGCGCGTTGATCGCTGTCCCCGAATGCGACTCCTGCCGATGGAAATCCCCGCAGAACAACGCGTTCGCGCCCCCATGCGGCCCGCCCGCGCCGCCCTCTCCAACCTAGGCGTCGCTCGATGCTGACGCGCACTGCCGCGCATGCGGATCGAGCCAAACGAAGAAGCTCGCGCCGACCGTGCGCATCTCGTCGACGATCGACCACTTCCACTGTGACATCCGCTGCGCGGCCGCTCCCGCCCCCTTCGTCTCCTTCCTCGACTCCACGCCTCCGTCGCCGCCGCCGCTCGGCCCCTCGTTTTTTTTCGCCGCGCCCGTGCCGAACGCGCCGCGAGTTGCATTCCCGCCCAGGGCTGGCGCGTTCGTCGCCTGCAGAGCTGCCGCCTGGAAGTCTGCGCCGCGCGCCCACCTCATGCCTTTCTCGGACAGCCCCTTGCGAATCTTGCCAGAGGCGACGCTTTTCCCTGCCTCTGGACCGCCGCGCAGCGCCCGCAGGAAGGGCCACATGACCGCGCGCCGCGCCCCCCCCCCCCCCCCCCCTCCCTCGCAGGAGCCGAGAGCCAAAGGCCGAGCAGCCACCTTCTCCACGACGCTGCGCGGACCCCCGTTCAGCCCCCCAATCGCAAGCCCCCTGCGCCACCTCCGCGCGCCGGACGCCGCGGCCTTGCGGGGCGCATTCCGCCCCCCCCCCCAAAGCCGTTTTTCTGTTCTGGACTTTCGGCGCCGCGGCCGCCAGCGGCGCCCTCTGCGCCGACTCGGCATCCCATGTCAAAGCCCCGCTCCCTGCGCGCTTCTTGCATGTCCCGCTCTTCCGTCGCAGCTCCTCGCCCCGCGCGGCGCATCCCTTGCCGTCACCTCCGGACTTCATTTACCCGCCTGCCCCCTTTCTCCACGGGCGCGCCCCCGACGCGCGCCCTTCGCCGAATGGCCGCGGCGACAATTCTCGGGTCGAGCTCTTCGTCGCTGTGCAACTCGTCCTCGTGTTCCACGAGGTCATCGTCCGTGACTGGCCGCAGATCCACCGCGCCCATGTAGTTCTGCACGTGCCTCTTCGTCTCCTCAAAAGGCGCGCCGCTCCGCAGGCACTCCAACGAAGCCTCCGCCCACGACTGGTGCGCTCCACGAAAATCCCGCGGATGCGGCACTCCACGCTCCACGTCGTCTCGCAGCGAGAGTACCCCATCCACAGAAACCCATCCCCCTCCTCCTCTCCAACCCCGCGTTTCGGCTGCGCGCCCCGTGGAAACTGGGAGTCCGCGGGCGCTCGCTCCGCGCCCAAACCCACGCGCGCCTCAAATTGTCCATCTCCGGGACATCGGGGAACAGCACCCGCGCGCATCGCCCGCTTTCCTTCACAACGTAGGCCACACCCGCTGCCAACTGTGGTCCGCACTGCACGACGCCTTCGCCGATTTGCACCTTCTCGCGGTGTGCGCCGCGAACTTTCTGAATGCCTGACGGCGTCAACGCCGCCTTGTACTCGTCGCTGGCGGCCACCAATTCCAATGCGCTCTGCGGATACGCTGCCAGATTCACGCGCCAGTGCCGCGGGAACTCGCACAGCGACAACAACGCAAGGTCGGGCGCTCATGGCTCGTACACAAGACGAATGCCTCACAGGTACACAAAGTACTTCGAAACGATGGGCAATCTCCTCCGGTCGGGAAATTGTCCTGTCGGACATTCGTCCGATGGCAAGCCCGCCCGGTCGGAGACTCGTCGGGTCGCAAACTCCTCCAATGGAAGTTGCGTCAGCTCGGAAACTCGTCTGGTCAGAAACTCGTACGGTCGGGAACTCGCCCGGTAGGGAACTCGCCTGGTGGCAACTCGTCCATGGGGGGCCGAGGCGCACCTCGGAAAACAGCGAACCCACATGAACCGCGCAGCGGGCGAAACAAAGGGCCGACGAATCAAAGGCGGACGAAGCGAAAACGGACGGAACGAAAACGGACGAAACAAAGGCGGACAGAACGGAAAGCGGACGAACCGAAAGCGAACGAATTGAAAGTCCACCGCGGAGCAGATTCGGTTCAGCCCTCCTGCGTCCTCTGTCGTCTAGGAGGAGGAGGAGGAGGAGAAGGAGGAGGAGGGGGAGGAGGAGGACGAGGAGGAGGAGGAGGAGGATGAGGAGGGGGAGGAGAAGGAGGAGGAGGAGGAAAAAGGGGAGGAGAAGGAGAAGGAAGAGGAGGAGGAAGGCCCCCCACCCTGCCCAAAGAAAGCCTCGACCGACCCACACGCGGTCCGTCTGCGGGCACAGTGCTGTCAAAAATCTCCAGAACTCTCGTGTCCAGCACCGTAATCCATGCGCGTACATGCGCACCGCCCCTCCGCCAGAATTTTGGACGCCCGAGATGGGCACGGGAAGAATGGGTACAATGCCCAACAGCAGTTCCTGTTCACTTTGAACAGGGCTCGCTGTCCGCGCCGCCGCGGCCTGTGTCCATCTGGGACAGAAGGCCGCCTGCCCAACAGCGGCCGCTGTTGGTTTGGGACAACATCTGCTGTTGGGCATTGTGCCCATTTTTTCCGTACCCATCTCGGGCATCGAAAAAAGTGCAGCGGGTGCGCGTCATGCGTGGGACGGCGGGGCCACTCTCGACAGCCCCCCACCAAGCCCCCGAGACCCGAAGCCGCCAACAACACACGGAACGCCACGATAACCAACGACCGCCGCACGGTGCCGCCATACTGCCACGCAGCCTCCAAACCGAGCCGATGCAACTCGCAGCCTCTGCTTCCATCCCCGACGCGATCTTGCTTGCCCCTGCCCCCTTGCCCCGGCCCTCCCTCCACCGCCCCCCTCGCGCCCCGACGCCCCGCCTCCCTCCTTCTGCTTGCTGGTCCTCGACCCAAGTCACCGAACTTCGCGCACCGCGCCCCGCGTTGCCTGACGCACCATCTGGCCATCGCTCGGACGTCCATTCCCTGTGTTTTTTTTGGGGGGGGGTTCGTGCGTGGTTTTTTCGCCAAATGATCGAGGATGCTCCTCGATGGTCCTCGCCGAAGGAAAAATGCAAACGTCCGCGTGATGCCAAGGATAAGGGCAAACGCTCTGGCCCAGACCCGCGGTGCGCGACGCGCGACTGATGTTTTCGCGCCCCCGCGGGTGACCCCGCCGACAGCACCGGGAGGCTGCCCGCACCGTCTGCGCAGAGAGGTGGGCGGAGCATCTCCGAGGCCACTCACGGTAAGATCATGTCGGGCGTGTCCCCCATACAAGGGGGTCATCGTCGAAAAATCAAACCGACTAAAATGATACACCAAAAAGGTCAAAAAATACGGAAAACATCCCAAGACTGTTTTTGGACTATCTTTTCACTATTGTTGGGTATTTTTTTATTTTTCGTCGAACATCCCCCTGTATGGGGGACAGGCCCGACTGAACGGTACTCCAGATTTCGCAATAAAAGGGAGGGGGTCTGGACCCTCCAGGACAAGCCATTTCAGACCTCCCCCGTGGGAGAACCCTCCAAAACATCGTCCCCAGACCCCCCAGGCCCTCCAAGATAGCCTGGAATCAAGAGCCCCCCCCCCCGAAATGAGACCCCCCTCCCTTTATTACCAAATCTGGAGCACGAGGAGACAGACCGCCGAGCCCTGGACGCAGGCGGGCACGGCGCACCGGCAGGGGACGGCCTCTCTGGCACGGCCCCCTTCTCTACCGGGGGGAAGCGCTGCAGAAGGAGCGGAGCGGCTCTCAGGACCACGGCGGTTCCTGCTCACTCCTTGGCGGGATGCAAATGGGGGGATGAGTCCAGGGGGGGAGAGAGGCGCAACGGAGGTACAAATTGCACCTACGCCCCACGGAGAAGGTACAATGTGTACCGACGCCACGCAGACAAGGTACCAATTGTATCTTCGACAACGTCCGCGACATGTGCGAGGATGTTAACGGAAGGGAAAAAGTACAATTTGTACTTGCAATCCGCAGAGAAGATACATGTTGTACCCCAACAAAACGGTACCGGATACTCATCCCCCCATGTCCTGATCCCCCCATCGCCATCCGGCCGAACTCCTCCAGCCCCACGACGCCTCCAGGAGGCCCCCCCTCGGAGGCCCGGAAGGAGCCCGACACAGTCGAGACGAAGGCACGGATGTATCCTGGATTCCTGGATCTTGAGGAAGAGCGAGCGACATAAACAGAAAGCACCGGAGGCCCGCGCGAATGTCTTCGATCGGCCGTCCGAGCAGACCTCCGAAACGTTATGCAGATGCTCGGAATGAGTCCCAATACATTCGAAACGAACGCAAGCAGACATCCTGGATCTTCAGGACGGGCAGACGGCATAAACATCTAACGCCGGAGGGCCGCGCGAATGTTTTCGACCAGCGTCCTGTGTTGAGCTCCGAAACTTTATACAAAGGCCCGTAAAGAGCCCAAAGCCATCGAAACTAACCCAAACAGATCTCCCAAATCTCAAGGAAGAGCAGACGACATAAACACAAGAGCACTCCGAGCAGACCGCCGAAACTTCATATTCGATTACCCTTTGCTACCTCTTGTTACCCACCCCGCCCCTGTTACCATGAACCCCTTGTTGCCCACCGGCCCTGAGCGATGCTCGGCGGCCTCCGGTGGCCTCCTGACGGTAGTATGCAGTATTCGGCGGCCTTCGGCGCGAAAGCTGGCTGGCTGCTACCAGCAGGGGGCCCATGATCGACCACCTGCAGTCATGCAGCTGTTTCTTCTTTGGTTCGCCCAAGAGATCCTCGACCTTGGGTCCTCCATTCGAAAACGAAGAAACGGCATAAGCATAAGATGTTGGCACTCCGCGCGAACTTCTTGGATCTGCGCTGGGCCCCCCTCCCTGGCGCGCGGAACGCGCCCGGGACTCGCTGGGGGCGCCGCCAGGGGGGGGGGGATTGTCAGCGCAGTTCCCAGAAACCCGCGCGGAGCGCAAGAAGTTTACAGTCATGGCGTTCCTCCTCCTTCGATCCCTCCCCCCTCCACCACCTCCTCCTCCTCCTCCTCCTCCTCCTCCTCCTCCTCCTCCTCCTCCCCCTCCTCCTCCTTCTCCTCTTCCTCCTCCTCCTCCGCCACCTCGCCCCCCCCCGCCCCCGCCCGCCTCTGCGGCCGCGCCGCCCGACGCGAAGTCCTCAAGCACCTCCTGTGGGGGGCGGGGGGGGCCCGGCCGGCGCGCCGCTCCCGGGCTGCCGAGGCGGCTGGCAGTGTTTGCCGCGCGCGCGGCAAAAGGGAGGCAGATCGAGGCCTGCGGCGGGGAGGAGGACGAGGAGGACGAGGAAGACGAGGAGGACGAGGAATGCGGGGAGGATTTTTGCCGCTGCACTGCCGAGCAAACACCACACAGGACTGGTCACGCATGCGGTGTTGCCCGCGCCGAAGCGCTACCATCCTTGAGATGGAGCCCTCGGCGAAGAAGAATATGCCCGCTGATGGCCTTGCAACGCAAGCAGACGAGGAAAACAGCGGGCAGCGGCGGCTGTACAGACCGCTGCCCCTGGTCCTCTCGTCCAAGCCTCGGTCGGGGGAGCCCCACCGAGCCCAGACACCAAAAGGTGGCGGCCACCTGAGCAACTGTCACCGCAGGGGAACCACATCCCCACGGCCGTGCACCAGGAGGGCGAGGACAGCACGAGGCAGTGAAAAGGACGGCCAGCATCAACCTGCACGCCGGAACTCCAAGGCCCGAGTTCCAGGGCTGGCAGCGTAACCAGCATCGGCGGGCAGGCGCAGCAAAACCCCAGATCGAGCCTGCCACGTGAGTCCATCTCACGACAAGCCGACGGCCACTAAAAACGGCACGGATGGCGACGGTTGGGGAGGGCGAGAATCCTCCGCGCCCAACCCAACACCTTGGCACTGGATAGGGTCCCCTGCGCAACGGTCACCGCAAGATACTACTTATCACACGGCCGTGCGACAGGGGGGAAGAGGGCAGCACGAGGCAGCGAAAAGGACGGCCACTGACGCCCGTTCGACGGGATTCCAAAGCCCGAAAGCAGAGACTGGCTGCGTAACCAGCACCGTCTAATAGGACGCCGCAAAACCCCAGATCGAACCCGCCTCGTGAGCCAACTCACGAAAGGTTGGGGCGGAATCTCAGAACGACACGACCACAAACAGGGAGGGCACTCCCCCGTTTCCCGCGCGCAGCGGAAATCATAGGCCGACCCAAAAGCAACGGTCACCACAGGGAATTGTCCCCCACGGCCGTGCACCAAGGGCGGGGACAACACGATGCAGTGAAAAGGACGGCCAGCGGCACTCGCACGACGGAGCTCCAAGGCCCGAGTTCTATGGCTGGCAGCGTAACCAGCACCGCCCAGCGAGAAGAGCAAAACCCCACATCGAACCCACCACGTGAGCCCACTCAAGCTGAGGTGGTTGAGAAACATAGCACGACAGGGCCACAGTCGGAGCAGACACCCCCGTGCCCAGCGCGCACCGAAACCAGAAAAGCCTCTGAGCAACGGTCGCTCCAGTGGAGCCGACATCCCACAGCCGTGCGGCAGGAGCGAAAGACACGGTCGACCTGGTAGCCAGCCAGGCGGCCGAAACAACACAATGGAACACCTGAGACAAAGCAAAAAAAGGTGCTGCCCGAACGCGAAACGGGCCAACCGTCAGGGCATGCCCCCGTGGCCAAAAAACCGGGAGACTCGCCCGACGGCGCCAGATCATTCCAACAGCCGAACCACACTAAGGGCATCCACGTCGAGCCAACATCTGTCGCTCTTCGGGTGCCTGCCAGACACGATTCGGTTCCAATAGTACTTAGACGAACGGGGGCACTGCGGCGTGTCGTTGCAGCGTTGATTCAAATATCGCACGTAACCACCCGTCGCAAAAGCCTTGCACTTCAACCAAACACAAACAGTACTGCCATCAGAGCAGGACAGCACAATACATTTATGGCCGAGCTCGATGAGCTTGGCATCATAGAGCTAGTGAGTAGAAGAACAGATACTGTGAGGGGGCAGCAAGACCTGGAGATGTTTAAGCATTGCTTGCACTGACAGAAAGTGTCTCTCCACACCCAGGAGTGCCGGGCCTTGGGCGCAGGGGTCACGGGCTCCTGCTGCGATCGCGTGGCCTGCGAGAGATCACATGCCGGCCACAACTGGAGCAACCTGGCGGCACGAATGCAAACGTTTCGGGCAACGGCGAGGGCTTGATCGAGCCACTCAGACTGCTCAGGGCTCGGCTTTTGATGAGCCAACGCCCCGAGCTTGGCATAGTGATCGGCGAGGTCGTTGCCCGCCTTGCAAAATGTTGAAGAATCGTCACCAGCAACATCTTTAGAGGACATGTGACCCTTGACCTTACGAATCGGACCCATCTGCAAGTCCGCAGTCCAAACAAACATACCAGCATACACACGAGTAAAAGCAAGGTGCTCAGAGCGGGGCAGGGCCCACAGCTGCACCACATTCTGGCAATCACTAAAACCGACCGAAGGTTCCATGGCATTCTGGCAGGCTGCCGTACATGCAGCAAACTCACCCGCCTGCGCAGTCTGAGGGAGGGGAAGAGCAAGGGGAGCAAAGACATGACCCAACTCCTGCCCATAATCGGATACAGAAACATATGACCACCCAGTGCGCGACAGCTCACGTATGACAGGCCGAATGCAAGAACCATCCATGAATATGTTATCAGTAACACGATAATCATCACGCGCTGGGTCACAAGCGTGATGAAAGGTGGGCTCAGCCTGGGCAGGGGCACGGAAGAAATCGCCAGGATGAGACATGATACCGTACGTGTACATCACTCTGTCGTACGCGCTGGGGATATCCCAAGACGAGGGATGGAACTGAAAATCTCCGCCAAGTAGCTCTTGGCGAAGCTCACGACACTGCGCATGCTCACACTTCCAAAGACGATGGGACATGGTATCCTGTTCCAGGTCGCACAAGGGGCAGAGCACGTCGAGGAGGACATACCCATGCTCCACAACACGACACTTGGTCCAGGGGGCCTGACAAACCAGCCCACGGATACAACCCTTTTCCCACGGAGAAAACGTGCTGGACGCCATAGCCGCCAAGGGCACGTCCAAGCAAGCTCTCCTGCTGAGACCCAGGCTGTCCCCGTAAACTCGTTCGTGACAACGCATAACAGCAAAACGTAGGAGTCGCTTCAGGAGGGCAAAAACGACTGCCCCAAACAACTAGTCTGGAAACCTTTCCGGAACCATTCGCTCCACTCGTGCGTCGAAGCTGCGCCGAACGCCCTTCGTCTGGAGTCGAGCTTGAGTCGAATCTGAATAACACATGCCTTGAACTGGAGTCGAACCGGAGTCGAACAGATCTGCTGGGTGGGCCCCAGGAAGGTCCCCCAAACGAGACTCTAGACAGAGGAAGCACGAACGCCTGGACTGCCAATCGGCCACTGCCAAACCCCCCCTCCTCCTCATCCTCCTCCTCCTCCTGCTGCTCCTCTTCCCCCACCTCCTCCTCCTCCTCCTCCTCTTCCTCCTCCTCCCCCTCCTCCTCCTCCTTCTCCTCCTCCTTCTTCTTCTCCTCCTCCCCCTCCTCCTCCTCCTCCTCCACAATTACACAATATGAATACTACTCTCCTCCATCCCCTGATGGCGTGCGGAAGATGGCGGGCACCCCTCCGCGTACTGTTTTGTGCACACAGGATTTATTTTCGCTTGGGTTCTTTTTCAAAATGATGCTCTCACTGAGGCGCCGGCTTCATTTTCGGGCTTCCGCTCTTTCCGAATCGTGCTCCCGCTGCAGCGCTGGCCTCATTTGCGCGCTTCCGCTCGTTCTGAATCGTGTTCCCGCTGCAGCGCTGGCGTCATTCGGGTGCCATGCCACGGCATGCAATGCAATGCTAGGTTGCGCTCCGCTGCGCGATGCCATGACTTCAGCTGAAGCTGTCATATCCAGTGCGTAAGTGCCACGTCATGCTATGCCATGCTACGCTTTGATCTTCAACGCCATGCTATGCAATGTTCTGTTCGAGGCCGCTGTGCGATGCCATGCTTTGCGTCGCAAAGTTTTGTGATGCAATGCTTCACTACGCCACGCCACGCCATGCTGTGACATACTACGCTTTGCGGTGCTCTTCTACGCCATGCCATGCCGTGCTCTACAATGCATCGCGTACCCTTTCGGGATCATTGCCCTGCTCAACATCCCGACTGAGCGAGTAGAGAGGGGATCTACGCCATGGTAAGGGACGGGAGGGAGGGGTATGATGTCAGATATGACGCGAGCGCACCTAGCTTGCCCCCTCCCCCTCCCCCCTCCTCCCCCTCCTCCTCCTCCTCCTCCTCCTCCTCCTCCTCCGCCGTCCTCCTCCTCCTCCTCCTCCTCCTCCTCCTCCTCCTCCCTCTCCTCCTCCTCCCCCTCCTCCTCCCCTCCCCCTCCCCTCCTCCCCCCTCCTCCTCCTCCTCCTCCTCCTCCTCCTCCTCCTCCTCCTCCTCCTCCTCCTCCTCCTCCTCCTCCTCCTCCTCCTCCTCCTCCTCCCTCCTCCTCCTCCTCCTCCTCCTCCTCCTCTCTCCTCCTTCCTCCTCCTCCTCCTCCTCCTCCTCCTCCTCCTCCTCCTCCTCCTCCCCCCTCCCCCTCCCCCTCCCCCTCCCCGCTGCCCGCGGGCCGCCCCCCCCCCGCGCCTCCGCGGTCCTGCCGTAGGCGTCGGGCTCCTGGCGCGGGCCCGCCCCGCCCGCCCCTCCGCGCGCCGGCCCGCGCGGCCGCGGCCCCCGGCGGCCCTCCCCACCGGGAGGCCTCCTACAGATGGGGTCGGAGCAGATGTTTGGACGCCCGAAGTGGGCACCGAAAGGCCGTAGTGGCTCGAGCGGAGGAGGCGAGGGCGGAGGCTCGAGCGCCTCGACGGCGCCCCCTCCTCGCTCCAGGCCTTCGTGGCGCGTGCCCGCGCCGCCCCGAGCCGGACCGACACGGGCGGAACCTGCCGCTGCCCTCCGGACCTCTCCCGGGGTGCGTGCTCTGGCCAGGACGTCGAGGCGACTCCTTTGGACGCCCGAAATGGGCACCGAAAAAATGGGCACAATGCCCAACAGCAAATGTTGTCCCAAACCAACAGCGGCCGCTGTTGGGCAGGCGGCCTCCTGTCTCGAACGGACACAGGCCGCGCGGCGGTGCGGAGAGCGAGCCCGGTTCAAAATGAACAGGAGCTGCTGTTGGGCATTGTACCCATTCTTTCAGTACCCATTCGGGCGTCCAGAAGATGGGGTCGGAGGATCGCGTCGCATCGCCGATACATCGGCGATGCATCGGCGATGCCTCGGCGATGCATCGGCGATGCAATGGCGATGCAATGGCGATGCACTGGCGATGCATCGTCGACGCCGGCGCGGAGAGAATCGGGCTCCGCATCGAGCCGCGTCGGCGATGCATCGGCGATGCGGCGCGATCCTCCGACCCCATCTAGGCCGACCCCATCTGGGAGGCCTAGACCACCGCTCCCACGTCCGGGGTGGGGCGCACACAGAATTGTATTGCACTGTGTTGCGAGACATACGCGGCACGCGACAATGCAGCCATACAGTTTGCGCCCCAAGACACGTATTGCACGCCCCAAAAGTACCGCAGCCCCACAAATCCGGTGCACCAAATCTATTTCACCACCCCCCTGTCTATGGGAACAACAAGTGGCATAAACATACAAAACTCGGAGATGTTATGTTTATGCCACTTTTTGTTCCCCTAGCGCAGGGACACACGAATTAGAGGAAAGAGAACTATGCACATACACCGATTCTGGCCAGGCCCATCCTGAGCCCAGGATCGGTGCATACGTTCCTGGGTCAACGATTGACGTTGTCAGGATCGGTGCATGTGCATAGTTCTCGTCGCCCGACTAATACTAGATGTTCTCCTTGGAGGAGAGCGTCCGACCCGAACAAACAGTATGCCCATCTTGTAGTACACGTCGTTTCCCGAGCGGTGTGGCCAGACAGCGCCCGCCACGACGCATACACCAGACGATGTCTCGGTGCGCGCATCGCCCCTGGAGGGGCGACGCACATATAGTATTAGTATGTTGGAGTGACGCCGATTGGGGGTCGCTCAAATCAGAAGCCAGGCGAAGGCTGGCAAACCCGTGGCTGCCAAAACGTAGCTCCAGGACGTTGTTTTTTTCTTCTGGGCAGCAAACCGTCTACGATTTAGTGCGCCGAGCTTTCTTCATGAAATGCGTGAGTGTGTTCCTTCCCGGAACATCGTTTTAGCAGCCACGGATTTGCCAGCCCCCGCCCAGCTTCTGATCGTCGCGTCGCCGCGGCTGGACTCGCCTCGGGCCGTTGGGCCGTTTCGGTTTTCCTGGCGCGGGTCGCCCGTGTGCCTTCCTCGTCGACTCGTCGAAGTGCGGATCGAACATGCGGCGCGGCGTAGGTCCGTGCCGCGGCCCTGTGCCAGGGCCTGGAAGACGCAGGCCGCCTCATTAGATTCCTCAGGTCCCGCCTCCTCCTCCTCCTCCTCTTCCTCCTCCTCCTCCTCCTCCTCCTCCTCCTTCTCCTGTTTCTCCTCCTCCTCCCCCTCCTCCTCCCCCTCCTCCTCCTCCTCCTCCTCCTCCTCCTCCACAATTACTCAATATGAATACTACTCTCCTCCTTCCCCTGATGACGGGTTGGGAGTGTTTGCCACTCCCCCGCGTACTGTTTTTTTACACACAGGATTCCCCGAAGTTGGGTTGTCGCCTGCATTTTTCTCAAAATGCTGCTCTCGCTGAGGCGCCGGCCTCATTATCGGGCCCCGCTCGTTCCGAATCGTGCTCCCGCTGCAGCGCTGTCCTCATTTCCGTGCTTCCGCTCGTTCCGAATCGTGCTCCCGCTGCAGCGCTGGCCTCATTTCCGCGCTTCCGCTCGTTCCGAGTCGCGCTCCCGCTGCAGCGCTGGCGTCATTTCCCGTGCCATGCCACGGCATGCAATGCAATGCTAGGTTGCGTTCCGCTGCGCGATGCCACGCCTTCAGCTGAAGCTGTGATATGCAAAGCTTAAGTGCCACGTCGTGCTATGCCATGCTACGCTTTGATAGTCAACGCCATGCTATGCAATGTTATGTTCGGGGCCGCTGTGCGATGCCATGCTGTGCGTTGCAAAACATTGTGATGCAATTATTCACTACGCCAAGCCACGCCATGCTGTGACATACTACGCTTTGCGGTGCTCTTCTACGCCATGCCATGCCGTGCTCTACACTGCATCGAGTACCCTTTCGGGATCATTGCCCTGCTCGACATCCGACTGTGCGAGTAGAGAGGGGATCTACGCCATGGTAAGGGATGGGAGGGAGGGGTAGGATGTCAGATATGACGCGAGAGCACCTACCTTGTCCCCCTCCTCCTCCTACTCCTCCTCCTCCCTCCCTCCTTCCTCCTCCTCCTCCTCCTCCTCCTCCTCGTCCTCCTCCTCCTGTCCTCCTCCTCCTCTCCTCTTCCTCCTCCTCCTCCTCTCCTCCTCCTCCTCCTCCCCTCCTCCTCCTCCCTCTCCTCCTCCTCCTCCTCCTCTTCCTCCTCCTCCTCCTCCTCCCCTCGTCGTCCCTTCTCCTCCTCCTCCTCGTCCTCCTCCTCCGTCCCTCCTCCTCCTCCTCCTCCCTCCTCCTCCTCTTCCTCCTCCTCCTCCCCGCCTCCGCATCCTCCTCATCTCCTGCTCCTCCTCCTCCGCTGCTCCTCCTCTCCTCTCCTCCTCCTCCTCCCCTCCTCCTCCCTCCTCCTCCCCTCCCCCCCTCCTCCCTCCCCCCTCCTCCTCTCCTCCTCGTCCCCCCTCCTCCTCCCCTCCTCCCCTCCTCCTCCTCCTCCTCCTCCCTCCTCCTCCCTCCTCCTCCTCCTCCTCCTCCTCCTCCTCCTCCTCCTCCTCCTCCTCCTCCTCCTCCTCCTCCTCCTCCTGGGGGCTGCGGGCGAGCCAAGCGAAGGCGCGCATGACGCCACTATTGTGAGCCCGTTTCAGAGGGATGCGCGGTAAGTATGCAAGGGCCTCGGAGGGCCATGTTGACCCTTTTCGAACGAGGTAGGCCAGCAACACTTACTAAGGACGGGCCGACGGGACAAGGATGCAGGGGTAGTCTGAGGAAATGGCTCATCTTTACGATGCGGGTTGACTGTGCATCGCGCTGGGCGATCGGGGGACCCCGGGTGGGCCACCGCTTGAGGTCACTCCGGCGAAGAGTCACTCTTCCGTGCAATCACCGAGAATGGGGGAACCAAAAGGTAGCGATACCGCTACTCCCCAGACCTCTCCCGGGGTTTGTCTGACCAGGATTTCGAGGCGAATCCAGCGGTGGCGACGAGGGCCTCCCAGGAAGCCCACAGAGTGGAACACGAGGGAAGCGTAGCGGTGTGTGCCTCTTCACCCTCCGAGAGGAGGAGGTGAGGAGCAACGAGATGGGGGGGGTCTGGCGCCCTGGGGTGAAGCATCGACCTCGAATCGGCGACGCCTCGCCGAGAGATCGGCGAGATGGGCCCCCGAGAACTATCGAACACACGTGCTCCTCGGCGGGGTGCCGATCGATGCACCCCCGCCCCGGTGTCTCTATCCCCCCTCCCCGAATGTCGACGTCGCTCGGACGTCCAACCCCCGTGCACGTTCCGTTTCCGTGCGCTTTGTTTCATTACTGCATGGGGGGGGCACACAGGTAAGGTTGGGGCAGAGGTGGGGTTGGAAGGAAAATCGCTCCGACCGGCTCTGGAAGAAGGACATGCGTTGAGCGGGAGCATCCGGCTGGGCCCGTTCCCCAGCCCCTCCTTGGGATAAGCCTCCCGCTACGAACCCCCGATTTCACTGCTCGACGGTCCAGGATGCTCTTCGATGGCCCTGGCCGAGACATGCACACGCCCGAGCGATGCCAAGCCATCGCTGCCCCTGAGGGGGGGTCGGGGCCCGATCCGAGGGGGGGGGGCTGCCCCCTCCTCTCCCGTCCTCATCCTCCTCTCTTCCTCCTCCCTTCCTCCTCCTCAGAGAGGATCGAAACGTTCACAGCTTCTCAAAGAGTTACCGGGGAAGGTCCGATTCTCCCAGGGTAAGTCCGACACCACCGGGAGAAGTATGTTTCTCAGCGGGGGGGCGGGCCGCGGCGCTCCTGGTCGAAGGCCGGCGCGGACCGCGGCCTCGCAGGCAGGTCCACGGACCACACGTCGGGGGTGCCGCGCTCGCGGGGCTGGGCGCCGCGGGGTCGGAGCTCGATCCTCCAGGGCTCCTCGATCCTCAGTCGAAGCTCGATCCTCGATCCAACCTCAGTCGAAGCTCGATCCTCAATCGAAGCTCGAAGCTCGATCCTCAGTCGAAGCTCGATCCTCAGTCGAAGCTCCATCCTCAGACGAAGCTCGATCCTCAGTCGAAGCTCGATCCTCCAGGGCTCCGCGATCCTCAATTGCATTTCGACTCGACCAGCTGCTTGGCTCCGAGGTGGAATGGTCTCAAACGTTGATGACATGCGCTCGAGACGCTCTTCTGCGGCGCCCGGTTAGGGTTAGGGTTAGGGTTAGGGTTAGGGTTAGGGTTAGGGATCGAAGCTCGATCCTCGATCCAACCTCGATCCTCGATCGACTCCAGCGTCGATCCTCGTTCGAGCGACCGTCGACGCGCTGGCTCCCCCCCGATAGGGGTGGGGGCGGGCTGTTTTCTAGAGAGGGGGGGGGGGGGCACGGTTTCCCCCCGGGCCGTAGGCGGCCCGCCCGAGGAGGAGAGGAGGAGGAGGGGAGGAGGAGGAGGAGGAGGAGTAGGAGAGGGGAGGGGGAGGAGGGATGGAGGGGAGGAGGAGATGGAGGAGGAGGAGGAGAGGAGGAGGAGGAGGAGGAGGGAGGAGGGGGGAGGAGGAGGAGGGAGGAGGAGGAGGAGGAGGAGGAGGAGGAGGAGGAGGAGGACGGGTCGGTCAAGCCCTTCGGAGAAACCCTCCCAGGAGGGCGAGGAGGCATCCGTCGGCGGCAGACGCCGCCAGCACCGAAGCGGGGCGCCGCACCGGAGCGGGGCGTACGTCGGCCGGGGGGCCGCGCGGGCACGGAGACGGAACGGAGTCGGGTCGGCTGCATCAAGATGCACAGCAGCGCCATCGAGCCTCGCTTGACCTAGGGAGCCCACAGAGGACGTACGCGCCCAGCTATGCACAGGAATGCGGCCCCTCGATCCGCGAGACGGGCCGCGCGATACGAGCGTTCGGGCAATGCGTACTCTCGAAGCCAGCGTGGATTCATGTACGTGTGCGTCCTTCTTTCGCTCCTGATAACCGATCCCCATCCCCAGCGGCGTGGCCTGGGCCCCACTGGCCGATGTACGGCCCTGGATGGGGACATGGGCCGTTCCCTTCGGGTTTCGAGGGGTGTCTCCCCAACCGGGGTGGTAATTTGGTGGGGGTCTCGAAAAAGGTGAGGAGATGGGGATGGGGGTCGGTTAAACGACACTGACGGGCACGGAGTCGGAATGGAATCGGGTCGGCTGCATTGAGATGCACAGCAGCCCCATGCAAGCATCGCACCGCATGGGATCGTCGAAGCATCAGGCTCGAACCAGATCGAGCCGGCTGGAATCGATAGCGAGCCCGATCGATCGGATCGACGTTTACCCTGCGACGGTGGGGAGGCGGAGGGGGGGATGGCAGGGGCCCCACTGGGGGGAGCAAAAGGTACCGATACCGCTACTCCCCGGACCTCTCCCGGGGTGCGTTCTGACCAGGATTTCGAGGCGAATCCAGCGGTGGCGACGAGGGCCGCCCAGGAGGCCCAAAAAGGGGAAAACGAGAGAAGGGTAGAGGTATGGGTACCTTTTCCTCATCTGACCCACCGCGGTGCGGTCTCGAAACGGAGCGACAACGCCGATCCCAAACTTCGAGGAGATCCCTCGACGGTCCGGCACCGTCCGTCGCTGAGGCGCTGTGCAGGTCCGAGACGCGCGGGAGCCCTCAGCTGGGAGCGCCCTCCCGGCATCCTCCCCCCTCCCTGATGGTCCGCTACCGAAAATTTCCGGTAGCGCTCCGCAGAGATCGGTCGCTACCGAAATACCGAAATGTAGCGCCCAATACCTGTATCAGACCGTTCCGAAATCCGCTATTTCAACGCCCTCAAAACGAAGATCCGGTCGCTACCGAAATTCGGGGTGCGTCGAAATCGCTACCGAAAATTTCTGGTACCAGACCATCGGGGAGTGGCACCCTCGCCCGCGCTGTATTCGAAGACTTGTTGATCATTGCAGTCGGATCGAGGTATAAGATCGAGGTCGCTTCAAGGATCCCGAAAATCCCCTACTCCCGCTCGGGGGGAGGAGCGGGGGGGGGAGGAGCTGGGAGGAGGGGGAGGAGCTGGGGTGCAGTCAGGGCGACATGGCTGACGGACCCGAGGAGGGCTCGTGGCCGAGGCGCGGGTCGCCCGAGCTGACTCTTCAGACGGCAGCCCGCCCGCCTTGTCGGCAGCATCTCCTGGAACGACTCTCCCTCGTCGGAATTGGGAACTGAAACCCACGCCGTTGAAGGGGAATTGGGACACACAAATAAATATACACAAATAAAAATATCCCCCATATTTTCCCATATTTTCTGGGTTCTTGTCTTCCCCCCCACTTCCCATTTTTTCCCATATTTTCTGGGGAATCGACGATTAATTGTGTCTGTGTGTTTTTTCCCCTCCTGATTGTCGGCAGCATCTCCTGGAACGACTCTCCCTCGTCGGGATTGGGAACTGAAGCCCACGCCGTGGACTGCTGGAACCACCGTCGCTCGTCAAAACGGGGTGCTGGAGCCCGCCCCTCTTCAGGGCAAACTCTGCTGGAACCACTCTCCTCTCTAAAAAGTGAGCCCTGGAACCATACCCGGCTCAGAGCCTGTAAGTATATATATATATATATACATGTATATATATATATGTACATATAACTATATATATATATATATAGAGAGAGACACTAGAACCACGCGCGCTTCACGCGAGCGTAGGCTCTAGTAGGCACCGACACCTGGCAAGTGCACTGCTGCGAGAGTGTACGCATGTTGCTCACAGCTGTTCGCAGCGCCTTGACGAGCTCACAACTGTAGCGCTGTCTCCTACATGGTGCGAGCCGTTGAATGCGCTCTCGCCGTCCTCGTTGTCACTGCAATGGCCGCTGTCGCCGCCGTCGCCGTAGCCGTCGTCGTCGTCTTCGTCGACGGCATCGGCGTTGAAAGGCTTAGGAGGCTTCCCCAGAATTTGCGGTTGTACATTGTCCACACCTCACCCCTCCTCCTCCTCCTCCTCCTCCTCCTCCTCCTCCTCCTCCAGGAACGCATCGAACTACGATTCGAGCGGAGTTGCAGGAGAAATACATTGAACAGCGTGCATGAATTCGTTAGTTTTTCGCTTCGTGTCGCTCCAATGCTCGTAGCGCGCGTTTTGCGCGCTTACGGTTTAGCACGCCCCAGCCCGTGGCCAGCTCACAGCCGCACTCACCACAATTGCAATGAATTTTGGCTGAAGAAAAGGCAAGGCCGTGGATCCAGCAGAGACGAATCGACGACACGGGTACACCGGACAAATTTAAAACGAAACTATGCAACAACGGGTGCCCTTTGGGGGCACCTTCCGCGGACGCCGCGAAAGCCTCTTGAACTACCCAAACTATTTCCTGGGCCGTGTTGGGACTCCCCTGGCCCGTCTTGAAGTCTCTTCTGAGCCACCGGGAATCTCTGGGGACTTCCTCAATCAAGACCATCGGTGGTCCCTTCGGGGCGCTTGTGGGGCCTCTCGAGTTCTCGTGGGGACCTCCTTTGCTGTCTCAGAGCGTCCGTAGCCCGACAGACGCCTTCGGATGCCGTTTTGGATGCCTGCGTGGACAATTTGGGGGCTCTTTGGGGGCGTCTCCGGGCTGTCATCGGAACTTCTTGGGCTCGTGTTGGGGGCCTCTCGGGCCCTCTTGGGGTGGTTCTGCGCCGGCTTGGGGCCCTCTCGGGGGCTTCCTGGGTCGCCTGAAAAGCAAGATGGGGGGCCACGTTAGCCGTCTTCGACGCTTTTAAGAGCATCTGGGCAAGAATGTGAAAATTACACAACAACCGATCGTCCTGAAACAGTCTAGGTCTCTCGGAGTCTTCCTGGAAGGCATCTCGGAGCTCTCTTCGGGCGGTCTTCGGCCACCTTGGGGGGCCTCTTGGGCCCTTTTACAATCATCTTGGACCGTCTTGGAACGGTCTTTGCGGCCTCTGAGCGTCCTGTTTCGGGAGCGGCAAAGAGGGGGGTGTCAAAGAGGGGGGGGTGCAAATCATGACCGGCGGCATGTGCGCGGCCCAGTGGGGGGGCCAGGGACGTAATGAAATAAGAAGAGGCGCCATGAAATCTGGGGAAATATCATGGCCCCCGCCATGATATCCCCCCCCCTAGTCATCACCCCCCTCTTTTCCGCCCCCGACTGTTGGGTCGTCGAGGCAAGCCTTCGGGGTCCAGTGAAACCCCCGGGCCACTCAAAAAGGGCCGCCGACTCCCAGCACAAAGTGGGCCGCCCCCTGGCCCAGGGACCAGGTCGCGGGCGAGACCCACGCGCGCACGCTGCGCACGCGCTGAGGCTCTAGCCGCCCTCGAGGAAGGCGCCCGTTCCAGTGAGGAATGCAGGGGCGAGTCTCGAATGCGAAAAAGGGAGCTTTCTGGACGGCTACCTGGGGGGGGGGGCGGGGCTTGGGTCCCCTTGGGGCTTCTCGGGGACGCCATGAGGAGCCTTCTGGGAAGTCTCAGAGGGAAGCTCTTGGGCGACTCTACGAAGCCGTGTGGGCCGCTTGGGGCCGGCTTGGCGCCACGGGGGAGCGCTGCTGCTGGCGCGTTCCCATCACAAGCTCCCCGCGCGCCTACTGGGGCCCTCTTGGGGCACCCCGTTACGGCTCGGGGATGGACAGACCTCCCTTTAGTAAAATGTGGTTTAGTGAAAACGACCTGAGGCCCAAACCTGGCGGGCGCGAGCCTGGAAAATAACGGCCGCGGCGCCCTCTCGAGAACCGAACAAGGACAATTCACTAATCGACGTGTCACTGTTGGGGGTTCTGTCCACCCCCGAACGGCTTGGGGCCACGCACAGGCGACGAGCGCGCAAGATTCTGGCGACCCAGCATGCGACCCCTGCCACTGGCGCCTTCGGTGGAGCTCTTTCCGGGAACCCGATCCTGCCACGGGGGTGGAGCTCTTCCCATGGAACAACGCAGCGTCACACACGCCAGCCCTGCCACTGGGCCCTTCGGTGGAGCTATGGCTGGGGGCCACAATCCTCGTGAATTGTCTGCCGAAGTTAGGGGGCAAACAAACCTACCTCGCTTTTGACCACCCTCGCTTCCAAGAGATACCAAGCGAGGCCAAACTACGGCATGTACTGGTCAGGCCGCTTGACGAGGAGGCGTATGGTATGACTTGGTTTTGCCTGGAAGCGAAAGCGGGGTAGGTAATTCACGCTCTGAGAAGTGGGCGCCGTCACCCGTGCGAGCCCTGCCACTGGCTGGGGCCTGCGGTGGAGCTCCCTATGGAGCCTCGATCCTCGTGAAGGATGTACAGACATGGGCGCCGTCACAAATGCGAACCCTGCCACTGGGGCCTTCCGTGAACCTCCCTATGGCCCTATGGGGCCTGCATCCTCATGAGGATGTGCCGACCCGGGCGCCGTCACGCGTGCGAACCCTTCCACTGGGGCCTGCGGTGAACTCCCTACGTCCCCACGATCCTCGTGAGTGGTGTGGCGGAATGGGCGCCGTCACGCGTGCGAACCCTGCCAATGCCGCCTTCGGTGGAGGTCCTCTAGGCCCACGATCCTGGTTAAGGTTTTGCCGAGCCACGCATGCGAACTCTGCCACTGGGGCCTGCGGTGGAGCTCCCATTGGGACCTATGATCCTCGTGAGTGGTGTGCCGAGGTGGGCGCCGTCATGCGTGCGAACCCTGCTAATGCGACCTTCGGTGGATCTCCCTTGGGGTCCACGATCCTCGTGAGGGGTGTGCCGAATGGACGCCGTCACGCAAGCGAACCTCAATGCTGGGGCCTGCGGTGGAGCTTCCTATGAGGCAAAAGGATGTGCCGACACGGGCGTCGTCACGCATGCGAACCCTTCCGCTGCTGCCTGCGATGGGGCTCCGAATGGAAGCTGCGATCCTCCTGAGGGCGCCAGGGGCGGGGGGGATCAGCGCAGATCCCCGAATCTGTGCGGACCTCAGACAGTTTACGTTTATGTAGTTTTCGTTAATGATTGGGGCGTGTCAACGCTAACAGGGGGGGCGGGCATGTACAACTGGGGCATGGCCATCGATGAGGCCGCGTACAATGCGTCCATTCGTGTGCTGGCGCGGGCACGCATGCGCACCCATGCCACTGGGGGGTTCTTTCTGGAGCCAACTATGGGGCCACGATCCTCGTGGGTGTGTGCCGAAATGGGCGCCGTCACGCATGCGAACTTTGTCACGGGGCCTACTTTGGGGCTCCCTACATATGGGGCCATGATGCTCGTCAGGGTGTGCCGACATTGGCGCCGTCACGCATGCGAACCCTGCCGCTGCGGCCATTGGTAAAACTACCTCTGGGGAGGAGGAGGAGGAGGAGATGGAGGAGGAGGAGGAGGAGTAGGAGGAGGAGGAGGAGGAGAGGGAGGGAGGGATGGAAGTGACCCTGACCCGCGCGCGGAGCGCGCCAGGGGGCGCCGGAGGCGCCGGCGGCGCCGGAGGCGCCGCCGGGGGGCCCCAGCGCCGCTCCGAGAAATCCGCGCGGACCTCCGAGTTTTTATGTTTGAGCCACCTGTTGTTCCCCTAACAATGTTCTTAGAACAAAAACCCGATGTGATAAAACAAGACAGACTCCGCCAGAGCTGTTAAGAACATTTCGGGGAAACCACAACAAGTTCTTAGAACATTGTTTGGTATGACCTCCGAGTTTTTATGTTTGAGCCACTTGTTGTTCCCCCAAATATCTGGATCACATTTATCAGGGGGCAAACAAACCTACCTCGCTTTTTCGACTACACCCAAGGGTGACCCTGAGCAAGAGTGACCTTTGGTGCGCGGCTTTTTGGGACCGCGGGGGGGCCAAAAGCAAGCGCGCAGGCCGCTGCTACCGCTTCTCTTTCAGCCATCTGGGGGCCCATCTGTGCCCGCACCAAAGGTCACTCCGGCGAAAGGTCACTCTTACGCCTAGTCGACTTTTGATCACCCTCGCTTCCAAGAGATACCAAGCGATGCCAAACTAGGGCTTGTGCTGGACAGGCCGCTTGACGCGAGGAGGCGCGTGGTATGACTCGGTTTTGCCTGGGAGCGAAAGCGGGGTAGGTAATTCACGCTCTGATTTATATCTCTCCAATCATACTCTTGGGGAAAGAAACCAAAAGGTACCCACACTGCTACCCCCCCGACCTCTCCCGGGGTGCGTTCTGACCAGGACTTCGATCGGGTCGGGCGAAAGGGAGGGATAGCAAAGGGGGGGGGTGAGAATCAGCTCACCTAACTGATTTTCCCGGCGCCTCCCGGCGCCGGGAGGCGGCTATGTATCGAGGAATGGGCCCCTCGGTGGGGCCGAAACCCGCTGCATGCAGCAGATTTCGTGACCCCTCCTTTCCCAATCCCCCCCTTTCGTCCGGCCCGATTCGAGGAGAAGCCAGCGGTGGCGACGAGGGCCTCCCAGGAGGCCCGAACCGGGGGAAAAAGGGCGGGGGGGCAGAAGCACGGGCATATCCCTTCCCCCGCCGCACTCGGACGAAACGTCGACGAGGCGTGCGGGGAACGACGGGCCCTCGCCCGCCACGGGCACCGCCCCCCGCCGCCCCCCGCCCCCCTCCTCCTCCTCCTCCTCCTCCTCCTCCTCCTCCTCCTCCTCCTCCTCCTCCTCTTCCTCCGCCTTCTCCTCCTCCTCCTCCTCCTCCTCCTCCTCCTCCTCCTCCTCCTCCTTCTCCTCCTCCTATTCCTATTCCTCCTCCTCTCCGCCTAGTTCCTCCTCCTCCTCCCTATTCCTCCTCCTCCTCCTCCTCCTCCTCTTCTCCTCTATTCCTCTCCTCCTCCTCCTCCTCCTCCTCCTCCTCCTCCTCCTCCTCCTCCTCCTCCTCCTCCTCTCCCTCCCCTCCTCCTCCTCCTCCTCCTCCTGCTATTCCCTATTCCTCCTCCTCCTCCTCCTCCTCCTCCTCCTCCTCCTCCTCCTCCTCCTCCTCCTCCCCCTCTTCCTCCCCCTGGGGGGCGGCGGCGCCGCCTCGTCGCTCGGGGCGGCGGCCTGCATGACGCCCGGTGGGGCGCACGCGCCTCGGGGCGCGCGCGCGCGCGCCGCGGCGGGGCCCCGCACAGGCCGGGGCGGCATCGCAGCGCGAGGTCGGACCGGCTCGGATCGGGAACCCAGATCAGGGGGACGTAAGACCTGGGTACAAGGGGCTCGGAAATCCCCGACGAGGTCGTCAAAAAAATGACGAGGCCGAGCTTGCATTTTGACGAGGCCTCCCGCTGCAGACATCCCACGAAACTCCTCCTCGTCAAAATCCGAGGCGCGGTCGTCAAAAAACGATGGCGAACCCGAGTCCTGGCAAACCCGGGTCTTACGCTCCCCTGACCAGACCTTTACCAGCCTCGAACTTATCCCTGTCCCTAAGATTGACACGCCAAAAGGCGATGACAGTCTTAGGGATTCGTCTCCCTGAAAAAATTCGCCGGCCCAACGGGCCAGAGGCGTGCTAAGATCTCCGGTAACTTGTTAACAATATTTCTAGTTCGCGCGCGCGGAGCGGCCCCTGGGGGCCCCCGGACGAAAAGTACCCCGGCAAGGTCCCGAGAGAAGCCCGGGAGAAGCCACCAGACCACTCCAGGGGAGGGTATTTTTCGACACCCCTCACGAGGATCGTGGCCTCCGAGGGGGGAGCCGCAATCGACTACCCCCAAGAGCCCTCCAAGAGGCCCTGGGGGCCTCCAAAACGCCGCCAAGGAGCCCCAAGAGACTCCCAAGAGGTCCCCAAGAGGCCCCCAAGAGGCCCTAAAGAGCCTGAAGGCCCTGCGTAGTTAGTAACAGTTAGCGAAACTTCTAATTGTTATTAACGGAGTTATAACTAGTTAGGTTTGGCCAGTTTGAAGCTGTTTTTTTAATGTTTATGTTATGTTTTTGCATCTCATGTAGTTGGAAATTGGGGCATCATGATTGGGCGCTTCGTCGATTTGGATCTGCTCAGGGGCCTTCAGATTTTTTTATCGTCCTGGGGCAAACGCGACGGTCCGCAGCGCATCATGTTAGCAACATCGCGATTTGTATTCTACTGGCCAAATGCACGTGATGTCGTTCTCTATTTTCCTGTAAATCACAGGAGCTTTCAGCGAGGTCAGAGGCATCAGAACAGGGTCTGTATCATCTAAAAAGATGTGTCTGGAAAAACCTTCAGCGGCGTTCACATGCTTAGTTGCAAGCTGCTGGACAAGCACCTGCGACTCGCCATCGTCGCATTTCACGTGAAACCACACTTGCATTGCTGCATGCATCCCGCCCGACCCCAGAAGTACGATATCACCGCGCTTGATGCGGCCGAAATCTGTCATGGCTTCGATGCTGGAGACGGCTGTCTGCGTCCCAGGGCACATGCGTTTCAACGCATTCAGCAGCTTCTGTGTTGCTTTCGTTGGGTCGACTAAGCCAGGTGAAACACGCATGGTCTTTAAATCGTGCGCGTGCTGCGCAGTGAGTTGGACCATGAGAGCCTTCTCTGGCCCCTTCTTGCACATGTGGTCTTTGGCGAAACGTTTTACGTTTTTGTGCTTGCGTTCCTGGACAAAGCAACTGAGCGACCCATGTTTTTTTCAAACATTTCTGGCAAATGTGTTGCCATATGGTGCTTATACACCCAATAGCTTTCACCATATGCGTCCTGATGGCACCGAAGATGTTTCACTATCGCTGACTCTATCTGCGCGGTCGTGACTGGAAGCCGCCGCGCCGCCGTGATGATTATGTCAACGGCATCTTGCAATGCCAGCATACTTGCGATCTGGGGGGCCACTTGATCCGATGAAGGATGCATGGCAATTACTTGCCGAATATACCTGCACAAAACAGGCAACGCAGAGATCTCTTCTGAGGCACTTGCTTGGAGCTCACCAGTCTCCCATACAGTTGCGGCTGAGTGGTGTTTACTCGGCCACGTCCACTTCATGAAATACTCATGCAACTCCATTGCATCACACAAACACTTGAACTGCGCATGCCCTAAAAGTGCTTTTACTTCTCTGTCGAATATACCAGACACAAAATAAATATGCATCCAGTCAAAGCAAATGAATGACGCAGGGAGATATCGCAAACCTGGGTCCAGCGCTATGTGTTCGGGGTGGAAGTTCCATCCTTTGTGCTGTGTGATGGTCGTGTACTGCCCCTCTGAAAACTCCCCCCGCTGATATTTATCCCAATCGGGCCGAAGTCGTTCCAGGATCGCGATGATTGTCGCGTCATCGTTTCTGCGTATCTTTGACGCATCCAAGCACGCGTCTGTCACAAAGAAACCAGATACATCATATGTCAAATAATCAAACTTTCTATTCAAGACGTTGCGACATAACGCACAGGGTTTGGAACCAGCGTGCCCTTTGTTCATGTGTAGTTCCCGCAATGCCTCTTCGTCCCCTATGACGCACGACAGCTTCGCGACGATCGTCGCGTGCGACGTTGCGTCGCCGTTCTCTGACACGTCTAATGTAACACCGCTCGTCTCAAAATTGAAACCACCAGCAGAATTATTTTAAAAAAAACTTCTTTGAGGGTCATCTTGATGCACTGCCCGATGCCACCTGGGATGCTTTTTATTTTTGCGCACCGCGCAGTGCTAAGCGTGAACCACGCATCTTCGTTACCCAAGGACTCGTCGAACTCAGCGAACGACCAGTAAACAGCATCAACCCCCCGATAATCTTTCCCCTTCGCCAGGGGGTCTCGCGGTGAAATACCATCGAAATATAAAATGATGTGCCACGGCGACGCCAAGCTGCATGGGTGCTCCTGAAGTGAGCGGCGAAACATCTCCCTGACTGGAGCGCTAGCCTTGCAGCAGGAATACAAAAATGGCCCAGGACAGCACACCCAGTTCTCGAAAGTTCTACCACTGACTAAAGGCGTGTCTATGCAACGCAAGACGTTCCCATATGCGTTCGACTCTTTGGCAATGATGTTTTCGTTTGCCCTGTATTGTGAGCTCCGTGAAATATTGTCGGGCAACCCATGGTCTCGCACATATTTTAGGACACCCGACAGAGCACGCTGTGACAGGTATGAGCCCCTGTGGAGCTCCACCAGCGCCTCATCCGCCTTGCGTTTCCTGGCGGCGGACGCGGCCATGGTTTCAGCCCAAATGGCTACAGACTCGATAACGATGCCAATGCGCATCATAGGATGCATGCGTCGCGTTATGGTAGGGGCACGCTGCACGATGCATCTGAATGCAGCGAGGCGGTAGATCACAACAGAAGTGCACGTTGCATAACGATGCATATGGCATGATACGACGTCGCATCAGAAGGACATGTAGGTGCATAGTGATGCATACGAAGTGCGACGGTAGCTCGCGAGAGAAAGGAGTATTGCATATTGATGCATGCGACTTGCGATGAACAGATCGCAACAGACTTGTGTTTTAGACATCATGGTGCAACGTCATACAAGCAAGAGGGAGTTCGTCGATGTGGCGCCGCCCACCGCCGCGCTGCAGCTGCGATGCGAGCTCCCAGCCCTGCTGGTCCTCAACAACCCCCTGGTCCTCCCCCTCCCCGCGTCGAGCACCTAACACTTGGCGTCGATCACGCCAGCGCCGCGCTCCAAGCCTCAATGCGATTCATCGTCGCATTGCGGTCGAAGCGGGCGCGGCGATCTGCCCTCCCCACAACGGCCCTGAACACCTTCTGTGAAGGCTTGTAGATCACGTAGCCGCACCTGTACGGCGCGTTGCACTCGCACGTCGGCGGCTTGGGCAGCACGGCGGGCTTTGGCACGGCAGCCGCGGGTCGCCGCATGGCAGGGGGCCGCGCCTTCTTCATTGGCACAGCCCCTCGGCGTCTTCGACGCCTGCCCCGCCCTCGGCGTCACCGACGCCTTCGCCGGCCGCGGAGGGGCGCTTCCTCGCCTTGGCGGTCTTGGCCTTCTTGGCGAGGAGCGCCCTGAGCTTCTCCTCCTCGTCGGTCAGGTCTGGCTCGGGCTCATCATCGCGCGGCTCATCGCGCGGCTCCTCGCGCGGCGGAAGCTTCGGCTCCTGCTGCGGCTCCTCGCGCGGCGGGAGCTTTGGCTTCGGGGGCTCCAGCTCCACGCGCGGCTGTGCAGGCGGCTCGGGCGGCCTGAGAGCCGCGGCCGCCGAGTTGGCGAAGAGCGCCGCGCACAGCGGTGCACCGAACAGGGCCTGCATGACTTGCACCTGCCCGCCAGCCGTAGGGTCTGGGGCTGTCATTGGGGGCGCTGCAGCTGCAGGCGAGGTCTTCGCCGCGCAACGCCTGCTCGACTTCCTCACGTAGTCTGGCGCGTCCGTCTGGATCTCCTCCAAGGCGGGCCCATCGTCCTTGTAAGCTGATTTCCACACGGCTCAGCCGACATGTCCTCGATGCGGTCGAAGTTCCACACCGTGGCGTACCCAAGCGTGGACCAACCCTTGCACGTGATGGCCTTGGAGATGGCACCCTTCACCTCTCCGAGGAGCCTGAGCCAATCGCCCCATGCCCCTTGCCGCTGCCCCACGCCACGAGCGCGGCCGTCTTGCCCTTGGAGCTCTCGGAGAGCGTGTGGGCGCCGATCAGCTTGCACCGAGCGGCGACCAGGCGTATGCACGCCTTCTCACTCAGGTCGCCGCTCTTCAGCGATTTGATCTCGCTCGCCGTGAAGACCCTCGATGCAATGCTAATCTCTTGCCATTGCTTGGATCCGCCTGGCATTGACAACATGCCTGTCTTGGTCCCGACGCTCTGGCACAAGCGTGCGATGTTCTCTTGAGTCCAAGTGTTCAGAGAGTGCTCCCTGATTGTTTTCACCAAGGCTGTCGCCTCGTCAGTACTGATCTGTGACAGGTTGTTGATCTTCATGAGGAGGCTGTCGTACTGGTGCTGGGCCACGGCTGATGGGCACAGGCCACATGCGATTTGTGTCGATACCCACTCTGACATGTGCTGCAGTTCCGCGCGGAGGTTCGGCACCGTCGTCATAAGACGACAGTTCCGAACTTTCGCGCCTCGCGCCTCGCGATAGGTCGCGCCCCGCGAAAGATCGCGCCTCGCGATAGATCGCGATCGATCGCGATCGA